AAAATAAATAAATGAAAGGAAAAAAAATTGAGGTATATACAATGGTTCATAAAAACAAACAAGTGCTACTTTGTGTTGTATCAAAATATTATTATAGGATCACTATTGTATGGACTAATTATTATGCTTAAGGTGCTTTTAATGTGTCTAGAAGTATTTCTTTAATGTTTCTTATGCCTAGAAAGGCACACTATATACAATACCCCAAGATAATTTTTTGATAAAATGATATTAGATACTAATTGCGCATAATTAACATACACATTGACCTTAAAGACAGACTTAGGAATGGAGCTCATATAATCCCAGAACTGTCTACATTTAAAAGCATTTAATGGTTAAAAAAGAAAAGACAACCATGTCTTTATGTACTGTTACAAATAAAATTTATATATAACTAACTTGATATTCAATGATTATGCCAAAAAATGTTTAAGGGAAAAAAATAATACCATTGTTTCTGCTCTAAAATTAAATAGTGGTGATGACTGCACAACTCTGTTAATATACATAAATATCAGTGATTTGTAGACCTTATATGGATGTGTTTTATGGTATAATATTTATACTTCTAAAAGCTGTTTAGAAAACAAAAAAATCTATAGGCCAGCACATTCTTATGCTTACCTCAAGCTACAATAATTTGCTAAGCAAGTTGGTGGTACTTTCAGCATTTTATTACTTTGGATTATAAAAAGTATATAATAAGCTTTATAAAATCTACTGTAAACACAGAAAAAAACAATGCCCTTCCCCTCATAAAAGCCAGAATATAGTACAGTACCATGTAAAAGCACAGTAATACAAACCACATGGTTCTACTACAATTTAAGAAGCCATTTGTTTTATGACCTTGTGGATTACACATGTATTAATGTTTTCCATCTTATATTTCTTTCATTATAATCAAAGGATGAATCAGAAAGAGGATTTATGATAGCTCTAACAAAATCAAAGTTAAACAATTTGTATGGTTTAACAGTTCTGTCCAACAGTTAATAAACCACATAATCCCGGGAAGTAACTGCTGGTATTACTGATCTATATATATATATATATATATTTATTACTTGTTCTTTTCTCCCCCTACTATTTAGTTTACAATTGATCCTACTTTTGCTCATTTTCCTGCTTACCATATTGACAATACCAGTATTAGAATTTAACAAATGGTAATGGCAGAAATGAATATCCTATTGCAGAAAAATGAAACAGAACCCATATATAACAACAATGCAAATGTAAAACCAAAACTATAAAGATCAGCAATGAAAAAATAAAGACAAACTTATAGTCCTAACATATGGCATAAATACACCATGTAACATAGCTAACAACATAAAAACAATAGAAGACACTAGATGAGATAGATAAGGTTTTGTGTCAACTTGACTGAACCAGAATTCATAGTGGTTTGGCAGTCAACATATTGTAATTCCTCATGATGAGATCTTCTGTGAGCAGTGTGGAGTCCTGGCGTGGTGTTGCAGGATTATGCACTAGACAGCAAGGTCAGCTTAAACCACGAGGTCAGTGGTTCAACACTACCAGCCACTCCTTGGAAACACTATACAGGATCACTATGAGTAGGGACTCATGGCACTTAACAACAGCAGTATATACTTCATTAGTTTTGCTTCTCTAGAGAACCAAGAGTTAGAGACTTGAAACGGGAGCTCCTAAAATTTAAGATACTTATGATGTACATAAGTATCTTAAATTTTAGGAGCTCTGGTAGCGTAGTGGTTACGAATCGGGCTGTGAACCTTAAGGTCAGAAGTTCAAAACTATTAGCTGCTCTGCGGGAGAAAGATGAGGCATTCTGCTCTTGTAAAGATTTATACCCTCGGAAACCCTGTACAGGGTCACTATGGGTCGGCACTGACTCGACGGCACTTAACAACAACAACAACATGTACATCAAAAGATTTCACCCAAAGAATAAAAATTTTTTTAAAAAATTAAACTCACCGGGAAAAAAATGTATAGCAACAACATAATTATTCAAGCAGAGGCAACTAACCCACAATAGCTATGATATATGTCTATATATGCTTCCTAAGTCAATGTTAGAACATGCACTAAGCAGCAAAGTCATGGGTTCCAAGAAAGTCTTAAAGTCCACATAAATCTTATTAACTCTCAAGGTTTGCGAATAATCTATTTTCTAGACACATCAGGATAATGGCCCCACCCTTTAGCATCTGGTCAGCCGCATTCTCTGGTTTAGGGGCAAAGGCCCCTCAGTCCTGGGTGTCACCCGCTTTGAAAACTCACTAGAACAGTGACCCCAGAACCTTTAGCTTGGGAAGCATTATTCTCCCTACCCACCAGCATGACCGTTCTCTTAGCCCACTTGAAGGGCAGCTCCTCCCTCTAGAATGGATGTAAAGGAGACCCCACTCTAAAATCTAAAAGGTAATAATCCCACCCTTTGAAACTTAGGGGTTGTAACTCCACCATTTTAAGATGAGGAGGCAGCAGTCCTGACTTCTATGCTTACAATACTTTCAAAAGTTATACTGAACCGATCCCAGGATAATGCCTTCCTTTCCTTGAAGGCTAACAACAGATGTTTTTAACTAAGTAACTCCATTGACCAATGTCCTGCCTGGTTTGGATAAAGCACACAGTTTTTCTTCATTTCACCCTATCTCAGTCTTCTGCATTCTAGGCTGACAGGATTTTTGCTACAGTTGACTCGATCCATCAGTCAGTCACAAGCTTAATTTCTTTGTTGTTGTTGTTGTTAAGTGCTTAAGCTTAAGCTTAATTTCTTTAGCAGTTGCATAATTATGAACTTGATGTCCTTTTGATGGCATGCCCTCTTAATTTTTCTATAGAACTTTCCAAATCTTTAATTTTTGTTTCTTTTTGCACAATTCATCCAAAAATCAATCTCTTTTCTTCTGCCTTTTACTGTCAGTGACAAAGAAAGAGAAACTACACAACATCTTCAAGATTTTGCTTAGAAATATCCTCAACATATTAAATATCCAAGTTCTTTCCTTAAAAGCTCTATCTTCCATAACACATTTGAACAAAATTCAGACAAGTTCTTTGCCCCTTTATAACAAGGATCACCTTCTGTTTAATATACAATTGTTGTTGTTGTTGTTAAGTGCCGTCGAGTCGGTTCCGACCCATAGCGACCCTGTACAGTTACACATTATTATATAGTCTCACCAGAAGTATTCAATGTCTGTATTACTAGCAACATTCTGTTTGATGACAGAAACTTTCCCAAGAGCTCTCAATTCTTTCTGAGCCCATACCAGAAATGTCCATAATTCTAACAACAGTCTCTTCAAGGTAGTTTAGCATGTCAAAACCCCTCCAGCCTCTACTCATCATTCAATTCCAAAACCACTTCTACACATGAGCTATTAAGAGCAGCAATCCCATTTCTGAGTACCAAATTCTGTCTTCGTTACCTAATGGTGCTACAACACAAGCACCACAAGACAAAGGTGTTAACAAACACAAATTTGTTTTTTCACAGTTCTGGAGGTTAAAAGTACAAATCAAGGTCTCAGTCTAGTCAATTTCTTCCTCATCAGTAGTCCTGGGCATTCCTTGGTTTCTTGATGTTCCCTTAGCTTATAGATGACACTCACATAGCAACTCTATTGCCCCCTGCATGTGTGTCTGTGTCTAGTCTAGTCTTTTTATAACTCAAAAGTGATTAGTTTTAGGATTCACCCTACACTTGTATTACATCTTGAATATAACAAGAGGAAAAACCCTATTTCCAAACAGGATCACATCGACAGGTATAAGAGCTAAGAATTCCATTTTTGTGTTCTAGGAAAAGGCGGAGGGAGGCAGGAAGGCACAAAATGCAATCCAAAACAAAGGCCAAAAAGGTTGCTGATGACTAGTAAGCCCTTGCTTTGATTTTTAAATCATAAGCTAATAATCCTAACCTATAAAGTTACTTTTAATTAAAATATTTCCTCTTATGCAAATTTTGTCTGCATACTCTACTTTTCATACTGTACCTGCTCATCACTTATCAACTATCTCATTATCCAACAGTTCACATTGACAACAAAAGTACAAACTTCACTATCCAAGTATTCCGTGCATCCTCACATTTACAATACTAGTCCTGGGCCATTTCACAATTGTCACACTTGAGCCCAATGCTGCTGCCACTGTGCCAATCCATGTTGTTAGGGCCTTTCTATTTTTTGCGGACCTGCTTTACCAAGCATGATGTCCTTTTCCAGGGACTGGTCCCTCCTAATAACATGTACCAAGTATGTCAGACAAAGTCTCATCATCCTGGCTTTTAAAGAACATATGAATGCACATCTTTCAACACAGATTTGTTTGTTTTTCTGGAAGTTCATGGTGCTTTCAATATTCTTCTCCAACACCATAACTAAAATTCTTTTGAATAGGTGATTCAATTTTGAGTGGTTAGGTTGCCATGATGCTTGTTTAATTAAATTTTGTCTGTTGTGACAAGGCCTTCAATTGTCATATACCACTTCAAGAAAAGAGTTCAATACAGTGAGGAAAAAGAATTGTTGTGCCATTACATACATCATTTTGCCTCTAATGATGAAACTTACCAGTACTTTTCAAAAAGACCGCAATTTCAAGCCTGCAGATAAGAATGAGGAAGCAGAAAAGGAGGTAGGCGGTAAATCATGCAGGGAAATATTTCTCTTGATTTTTTTATTCCTACTGGACATGGGAAAAGAACTTACATAATATAATTGGAAAGAAAAACACTTTTATATTAATACAGTATTAAATACTAATATTTAGGTTTTAAATCAATTACAGCAGATTGGTCATTTACTTGTGTATCTCATTTAAGAAGATCATGAAAAGCAAAAGCATGAATAAGAAAGGAAGAGATGGATGAGAGAGAAAAATACACATACACCGTGTTTTTATAATACTAGGACTGATTTTACATGAAGTCTTTTAAAAAACACTCTAATAAACTAAGACTAAAAAATGGATTTTTGAAGAAAAAAAATTACCATTTGGTGCAGTGGGAGGTGACCAGATGCCATAATATCTTGGCAAATATTTTCGTAGTTCTAAAAGAACACTGTCACTACAATCAGCAGCATAAACCTGAAACAAATGGAAATATGACAATTGCATGTTACTTTCTTATAATGTTTTGTAACTGTCCCGCACAATTCTCAAAAAAACCACAATACTGTTGAATCATATTTTATCTTGGTATGAGTTTCAACTGAAGTAAATTTGGAATACGCTAAAAAGATTACTGGGTATTTCCAATGAAAAACTATGTACTGTTTAGATTATCTGATTATCTGATTCTAGCTTTTCACTGTCCTTCAACTACTTTATTTACAACAGTGTAAATTATAAATAACTAATAGCATTGCAAAGTAATTCTTTTCCATATGCATGCAAACAAATAATGCCTTCTGTTCACACCTCATGGGATGGAGTAGAGGTTAGTGTCCACCGTAAATTTATTTCAATTTTCTTTTATTCTATGTAAATGTATACTTGCTTGATATTTCTTTTGTTCCAGTTTTAATATCTGGCTGCGAACCTTAAGGTCAGCGGTTCAAAACTACCAGCCGCTCCGCGGGAGAAAGATGAGGCTTTCTACTCCCGTAAGGATTTACACCCGCGGAAACCTTGTACAGGGTCGCTATGGATCGGAACCAACTCGACGGCACTTAACAACAATCCCCTTATTAAATAATGAGCTAAATAAAATCTTTAACACATAAGCATTTTACATCTTTATTGAAGTTGTGATTTTACTTCTATAAAAATTATCCTTTAACACAACATAAGTCTAATTATTGCTTATTTAAATTCCTTGACTTATAGCCATTAATAATTCTAAAAGACACTAGGAATTTCTGGAGATCCTGGAGTCTGCCAGATTCTAGCTTTTTTCTTAGAAAAGAGAAGGAACATGTTTTTTTATTTAAAAACAACTTGTAAGACATATTATCCAATGAACTCTCTTCAAAACAATCCAAGTTTACTAATGTGAAATACTTCAAAAAACTTAGTACCACAATTTAATTAAATTTAATATATTAAACTATATTCACTCTAAGTAGTTACATAAAACATAATTATACAATCTCAGTCAAAATCCCAGCAAGGTATTTTGTGGATATCAGCAAACTGATTATAAAGTTTATATGGAAAGGCAAAAATATAGACTTGTCAAAGCAATACTAATGAATAGAGTTGGAATACTCACAATACCCAACTTCAAGACTTAATATATTGTTATAGTGATCAAGGAGTGTGATATTGGTGAAAAGACAAATAGATCAGTTGAACAGAACAGGATCCAGAAAATATAGTCAACTGATCTTTGACAAAAGAAAAGAAAGGGAATTTGTTGGAATAAGGACAGTCTTTTCAACAAATAGTGCAGAAACAAGCTGGACATCCACATGCAAAAACATGATACACATAGAGCTTATATCTTTTATATAAATTAACACAAAACAGGTCACAGACCCATTATCTTTAGTTATCTATGACAGAAATATCACAAGTACACAGCTTTTACAAACAGAAATTTATTCTCATCGTTTAGGTGGCTAGACACTTATGACTTTAGGGCACACACACTCTAGGGGCCGAGACTTAATCTCTCTGTTGGCTCATAGGGTACGGTTTTTGTCTCCTTTCAACATCAGTGGTCCTAGTGTTCCTTGCAAATCTCCATGTATATGGGCATCAATCTTCCCATAGGGCTAAGAGGTTCTCAGCACAGTGATACCAGATCCAAAACACACACTCTCCTCTCAGGCTCTCTCTCTTTTGCTTTTATTAGGTTCTTTGCTCACTTCTCCTTTTCTCTCTTATAAAAGGTGGTACACGCTATAGGGAAACTCGACTTAAATTAGAATCAAGGTTGTGACCTGAGTAAGCGTGCTGCATCCCACATTAATCCCCTTATAACTGATTGACTGATCATACCAGATCACAGCATGACAAATAATTTCATAATTACATAACAGCCAAACTACTGAGAATCATGGCCCAGGCAAAGTGACACACATTTTTGGGGGAACACAATTCAATCCATAAGTGATCTAAATGTAAGATGTAAAACTATACAACCACTGTAACTATACACAGGAGAAATTTTAAGCGATCTGGGGTTTGGCAATGACCTTTTTAGAAACATTAAAAGTACAATTGTTATCATTGTTAAATGCCATCAAGTCAGTTCCAACCCATAGCAACCCTGTATAGGGTTTCCGAGGAGTGGCTGGTAAGCTTGGACCACCAACCTTGTGGTTCAAACCGACTTTGCAGTCCAGTACATTAACGCACAGTGCCTTAGCTTCATTAAAATAATAAGCGTCTCCTTTTTGAAAGACACAGTAAAGAGAATGAAAAGACAAGCCATAGGCTGGTGGAAATACTTGCAAATCTGGTAAGAAAAAACAAATAACCCAATTACAAAATGAGCAAAGATTCAAAAAGGCCTTAAACTCACTAAAGGTGATATACAAATGGCAAACACATTAAAAATGCTGTCTCCATTATTACAGCTCTCGCTCTTTTGGGTCTAGGAGACTCTCAATGCAGGAACCCCAGATCTAAATGACACACTGTTCTTGAGGCCAGTGATGTACCCCCAAACTTTTGGCCATTGTAAGTAAAAACAAAAGCCAGAACCTATGTATGACAGAAGTCTATCAGAGAAGGAAAACTCTTTTTGCACTGAAACAAGTGATAGAAAAGTAGTAAGACTGCACCATGTCAAAGGCAGAAAATTTCCATTACCCAGAAAAAAAAGGCAGTTCTATCAAGTTCTCTTATTACAGGCTTCACTATACAAACAAACTCCTTGTCAATTTCAAGGCATGGCTCCTCTCCCAGCAGAACCATGAAGGAACCAATTCTCTTCTTGGACCACAAGGCCGTCAGTTCTATTGGGTGAAGTATCAAACCACTAATTGCATATTACCAATCCTTGCAAGGTTATGACCCAGGCAATCATTTTGTAGGAGCAACAAGACCATGGCATCTTATGTCACTGTTGTTGTCACTGTTAAGAGCCGTCAAGTCTGTTCCAACTCATAGCGACTCTGTATAGGGTATCTGAGAAGCAGCAGGTAGGTTTGAACTGCGGATCTTAAAGTTCAAAGTCTAGTGCTGATCCTACAGCACCACACCACGAGTCCTCTTATGTCACTGTTTTATTTAGTGCCATCGAGTCCCTTCTGACTCATAACGACCCAGTATAGGGTTTCCAAGGAGTGGATGGTGAGTTTAAACTCATTGCAAATGAAAACAACAATAAGCTGTCACTATATAGTTTCTGTTGTTATGTGTTGTCAAGTCAACTCCAACTTTTAGAGAACCTACACAACAGTGTAACTATCCCACAGGGTTTCCTAAGCTGTGATCTTTACAAGAGCAGGCTGTCAGGTCTTTCCTCCAGCTGAGTCCACTGGCGGGTTCGAACCATAGATCTTTCAGTTAGCAGCTGAGTGCATAATCATTTTACCACCAGGGCTTCTTAGAACACCTATTAGAATGGTTAAAATCCAAAACAATGACCACACCAATTACTGGTAAGATGTACATAAACAATTCTCAAAATTGTTGGTGAAAATGCCCGTGTTTAGCTAAAGGTTTTAGAAGGTTATCTATCTAAGGTTTTAAGAAGGCAGTCTGGCAATTCCCTACAAAGCTAAAAACAGGCATATCCTTTGATCCAGCAATAGCATTTCTAAGTATTTGCACAAATGAGATGAAAACATATGTCCACATAAAAAAACTACACAAAAATGTCTTAAGACATTCTGGAAAAGGAAAAACTAGAGAGACAATGGAAGATCAGTAGTTAGCAGAGGATTAGAGGGAGGAGGAATGGATGACCAGCTGGAACACAGGGCATTTTAGACTTGTGAAAGTATTCTGTATGATGCTGTAATGATGGACACATAATATTAAGCACTTGTCAAAACCCAGAGAACTTTACAACACAACAGATGAATCTTAGTGTAAACTAGAGACTTTAGTTAATAATGTTGTTGTTAAGTGTCATCAAATTGGTTCAAACTCATAATGATTTCTGTATTCAGTTGGTTCACCTCTCTTTGGAATGGGCACAAATACAGATCTCTTCCAATCAGTCAGCTAGATAGTTGTCTTCCAAATTTCTTGTTAAGAGATGAGTGAGTGCCTCCAATGCTGCCTCACTTTCTTGAAAGATTTCCATTTTTATTCCATCAATTCTTGGTGCCTTGTTCACTGCCAATTCCTTCAATGTGCCTTGGACTTCTTCCTTTAGTATCATTGGATCTTGATCTTATGCTACCTCTTGAAATGGCTGAACATCTACCATTTCCTTTTGGTACAGTGACTCTGTATATTACTTCTATCTTCTTTTGATGCTTTCTGCATCATTCAATATTTTGCCCAGAGAATCCTTCAATAACAAAGTCAAGGCCTGAATTTTTTCTTCAGTTCCCCCAACTTAAGAAATGCTGAGTGTGTTTTTTCCCTTTTGGTTTTCTGACTCCAGATCTTTGCACATTTTATTATAATATTTGAGTTTGTCTTCTCGAGCTGACCTTTGAAATTTTCTGTTCAGCTCTTGTACGTCCTCATTTGTTCCATCTGCTTTGGCATCTCCACCCTGGAAGGCAAGCTTCAGAGTCTCTTCTGACATCCATTTTGTTCTTTTGTTTCTTTCTTGTCTTCTTTTGCTTTCTTCCCGTATGACGTTATTGATGTCATCCCACAACTTTTCTGGTCTCCGGTTTTTAGTGTTTCATGTATCAAATCTGTTCTTCAGATGATTTCTAAAATCTGTTCTTCAGATGATCTCTAAGTGGAATATATTCAAGTTCATATTTTGGATCTCGTGGACTTATTTTCATTTTCTTCCACTTCCGTCTGAATTTGCATATGAGCAATTGATGGTCTGTTCCACAATCTGCCCCTGGCCTTGTTTTAGCTGATCATATAGAGCTTTGCCACTGTCTCTTTCCACAGATGCAGTCAATTTGATTTCTGTGGATTCCATCTGGTGAGGTCCATATGTATAGTTGTCACTTATGCTGTCTAAAGAAGGTATTTGTAATGAACAAATCATTGCT